ATCATCCGCAGACATGGGGTTAACTTCCACATGTATGCGGATGACACCCAACTCTACCTTTCCTCCTCTACCCTCAACTCCACGACCACCGATGTCCTGACAGCTGTCTGTCCGACATCGAGTCCTGGACGAGAGCCAACTTTCTTCAGCTCAACGTGCGCAAAACTAAGGCCCTCCTGATTGGCTCACGTCAGCGCCTCCGCACCTCAGGCGCTGACAGCATCAGCATCCAAGGCTGCACTCTCCACCTCTCAAAGCCAGTCAGGAACCTCGGTGTTCTGTTCGACCCTGAGCTGTCCTTTCTCCCTCATTTCCGCACCACAACTGGCACTGCCTTCCATCACCTCCGGAATATCGCCAGACTACGGCACTACCTCACCCCTCACGCTGCTGAAACCCTGGTCCACGCCTTTATCACCTCAAGGCTGGACTATGGGAACTCTCTCCTCGCCGGCCTTCCCAGCACCTCCATCCACACTGCAGGTCATTCAGAACTCTGCAGCTCGTGTACTGTCCCGCACCAGACACCGCGACCACATCACTCCCACCCTCGTTCGCCTCCACTGGCTCCCCATGCCTCAGAGGATGGATTTCAAGATCCTCATCCTCACCTACAAGGCCATCCACGGCCTCGCTACCTCCTATCTCTCTGACCTACTATCCCCCTACATACCTGCCCGTACCCTCCGTTCCTCTGGCTCCGGTTTGCTCCACATCCCCCGCCCCAAACGCCCTACCATCGGTGGCCGGGCCTTCAGCCTCTCAGCCCCTAGGCTTTGGAACTCTATCCCCCAATGCCTTCGCCGCCTTCTCCCTTTCCTCCTTCAAAGCAGGTTTCAAGACCTTTCTCTTTGACCGAGCCTTCAGCTCCCCTCTTGACTCTCTAACCCCTCCCCGTTCCCTCCCTTCCCATCCCTCACCCTGACAATTTCCCCCCTGCTCGGGTCCTGACCCAACTGTACAGCACCTTGGGACGTTCTCCTGACATGAAAGGCGCTCTATAAATGGAATCTTGTGTTTGTTGTTGTTGTAGTTTGCCATATATTCCCTTCTTTTCATTTCAGTCCCTCTAGAAATGAACCCCAATACCTAGTTTACCTTATTTATGACCTTGTTAACCTGTGTTGCCCCGTGACGTGAGTTATATATGTTTATCCCTGGATCTCTTTACTCCTCGACACCATTTACGTTTCATGTTTCAAGATGTATGTGACTTCCTTATTCCTTCTCCTAAAAGCACCTCACACGTTTCTACATTGCATTGCATTTGCCATTAAAATACCCATTCAGTAAGTTTATTCATGTCTTGCTGTAATTTGTTGCAGTCCACCTCTGTACTACTGCTCCCAATTTGTTGCTGTCTGGAAATTTTCAAATTGTGCTGCTGATTCACTAGTCCAAATCATTCCTGTATATTGTGAATAATAGTGATACCAATAGCGATTCTTGTGGAAAACCAAGGCACACCCCCCCCACCCCCCAGTCTAAGTAGCTACCCTTTACACCTACAATATATTGTTTGTGATTTGTAGCCAGCTTGGTATCCATTCTGCTATTGTTCTCCTGACTCCATAGGCTCTGACCTTATCCGTTCGTCGACTATGTGGTATCTTATCGAACATATTTTCGAAATCTAAATATATTACGTCTACCGCATTACCCTTGTCTCTATATTTTGTTCATCCTTCAAAGAATTTAAATTGAGGTTGGTCAAGCATGATATTCCTTTTTCAAATCCGTGCTGACTAGCCGTTATTATATATTCCACTTCTAAACGTTTTTCTACTTCCTCTTTCGGGTAATGATCTTATAATCTTTCCTACAACAGATTTTAAGTTGACAGGACTGTGGTTTCCAGGGATTGTCCTTTCTCGCTTTTTAAATATAAGAATAGATATCTACCGTCTTCTGGCACTGCTCCTTTTACGATTGGGTTATTATATATGTGTAACAGTGCCACTGCTATCTCTTCCCAGGTTTGTTTTAATATACGCGAATGCAGTCCATCTGGACCAGGGAGTTTGATCTCTCTGATTATTGTTAGTATTTCTATTATGTCTCCCCTTTGTAACTTAAATGTATTTGTTTTATTTTCAATCTACTGTCATGTCCACCTGATCGGTCTCCCTGGTGAATACTGATGTGAACGATTTGTGACACTGGGTTAGGAGAGGAGAAAGGATACTAGATTAGGAGAAGAGGAGGGACACTGGGTTAGGCTTGGAGGTGGGATACTGGATTAGCAGTAGAGGAGCGACACTTCGTTAGGAGATGAGGTGTGACACAGGGTTAGGACAGGAGGTGTCATATTGTGTTTGGAGAAGAAGTGTGATATTAGGTCAACAGAGAAGGTGTGCTCACCGCCTTTTTCTCACACACACATTGTTGTCATTAACATCACCCACACCCGTGCTCAGCAATACCACCTTGCTCCCCTTCCGCCGTGCTCACACACCACCTCGTGCTCACCAACTCTGAGCTCACCCACCTGTGCTTATTCACCACGTCATGCTCACACCCCTGTGTTCTGCCACACCAATGTCTGATACACTAGTGCTCCACCCCAACCCCTATGCCCCGCTGTGCTCACACATCCGATTTACTTAGACTCCACCCAATCGCTTCCCCCCTGCTCACCACCCTTGTGCTCAACTCTGTGCTGACGCTCGCTGCGCTCACAACCCCTGTTCTCACCCACATTGTGCTCATTTCTTCTATGCTCAACCACACTCAACTCACACCCCCTCTCTGAGCTCAAACATTGTGCTAAACACACTTGCCCACCCCTGTCCTCAACCACACTATGCCTACACTCACTCTTTACACACCATTTGCTAACAGCCCGTGTATTCCCACTCGCACCGTGCTTCCCGCATGTGCTTACTCCCCAGTGCTGATCGCTCCGTGTTCTTCCTTGTGATTAACTCCAACTCCCCCCTCTCCCGTGCTCACCCAGTTGTACGCACCTCAACTGTTGCTCAACCCCCATTGTGCTCAAATCACGTCTTCTCACATCCCCATTTCTCACCCTCTGCGAACCTTCCTTTGCTTTTCGCCCTTCTATGCTCACCCTGTCTTAGCCCTTAGGCCGCTTAGCCCGCCTGTGCTCACGCCCATTGCTCACCGCCTTGTGACACGCCTATTCTCATCCCCGGTGCTCACCCACCCCTCCCGCATGTGCTCAACACCAATGTAATTACCCCCTGATTAAACTGTCATATGTTTCCCCCGCCCCCAACCCCCGCCTTGTGATTACCTCCCGTTTTTCACGACCCCAGGTGAGCTCATTCCCCTCTGTTCTCCGCTTGTGCTCATCTCCCGTTTTGCTCACCCCTCTTCTCTCCACCTCCCGCTTAGGCTCCTGGGTTCACCATCCTGTTCTCTTCCCCCACTTTGATTTCCCTCCATGTGCTCCTCCTCTGCTAAGCACATCCCCGTGCTCCCCATTGTGTTCAAATCCCTGTGCTCATCCACACTGTATTCCTTATCCCCTGTACTCTTCACTCCAGCGCTCACACCAATCCAGCAACCATATGCATACCCCGATTCTCACCCATTGTGCATGGCCCCTGTGTTCCTCGGTGTGCTCACCGCCTCATATGCATACCCGGGGTTTCAACGCCTGCGCTCCCCAATTTATTTGAACTGCACTACTTCCCGGTCTCAACTTCCCATGCTCTGAACCCCGCGGTGCTCACAGTCCTCAAGCACACCCCATCGCCCCGTGGTAACCCTGCACCTGAACTCACCACTCTGTACCCAGCTCCACTGTACTCACCTCCCTCCGCGATCAACCTCCGTAATCACCATCCATTATCCTCTCACTTTTGTGATCCCTCTTCCCGGTGCCCATACACATTGTGTTCAGCCCCGTGTGCTCACACCCTCCAACCGGGCTCACTCACGCGCTCTCCAGACACGCTTTGTGTTCATCCCCTTGTACTCATCCCATGTTTACTCAGCTTCACCCTGTGCTCCCCTACTCATTGGACTCTGTACACACACGACCTACCCTTGTGCTCAAACCACCCGTTCTCGCATCCCGCTGTGCTCACCCCAACTGTGCTTACAACACCGCCCCGCAATTTTCTCAACAAGATTGCGTTCAGACGCTGAGTTCACCTCCACCACCCCTCCACTGTACTCACCACCATGTATTCAGACCTGCTTAGCTCAGCAGCCAACCATATGCTCACCACTTCTGTTCATACACTGTGCGCCATTGTCCCCCACCCCGCCCCGCGTATGCTCTCCGATTTGCTCACCATCCTGTCTTCAAGCACCCTGTGTTCAACAGACCTGTTTTCAAAGCCGACTGCTCATTCCGAACCGTGCTCACCCCGCACCCCGTGCTTAACAACCCTGTGCTTATCCCACCTTTGCTCATCCGCAATGTACTCATCACACCTCTCTCCTCACCTCACACTTTTCTCCGCCCCCTATGCTCAACTCACCCATCCTTGTGCTCACCCCAACCTCTGATGCTCCCACCACTCCGCGTGCTCAATCCCCCTGCGCTCAACCCTCCGTGCGCTTCACACCCTGTGATACCGCTCCATGTATTCACCCCTGTAGTCATCCCCTCTGACATCCCACCATGCGCTCACACCCTGTGTTCACTCCCACCGTGCTCACACGCTGTGCTAACATGTGATCACCCACGGTGTTCAGCCTCCCTGTGTTCACATACCATGTAGTCATCTCCACCCTTACTAATCCGCTTTTGCACACCACCCCATTCACCCCGTGCGCACAGCACCCCACATCCCCATTACGAGGTTATCATAAGAGACAGACATATTTAACTGATAATTTGTCGCCCATATCATGGCATTGTGAAGCAGAAAAGTGATGGTGACACCACCTCACCCCCACCCCCTCCCCAACAGGCTTAATAATAAACTAACGTACTGTAAGATACAAAATTTATCAATGATTCTCCAACTGGGGTTCATCGAAAATATGAGAAAAGAAAAATGATCAGAGAATTGATTGTTTACCTGAACAGATGACACCGACATCGTGGGCTTGAGATAACCAGGCATAATCACTCCAGGAATAATGACTCCAGGTCTGTGAGGGACAGTCCCTCAGCGCAGACTCGTTCCCTCTGCACCGAACATTCCATGTCACAATCGGATCAGAGCCTTCGCCAAAGTGAGCGCCTCCCGGTGCTGACAGCGCTGCTCCACAGGACAACTCCTTACACACCACAGCCTCGTCCAGCGTATCCCAGCCATAGTCACGCACTGTGCCCCATTTTCCATCGTGGTAAACCTCCACTCTCCCGGCACACGGGCTGCCGCCATTCACCAGCCTCAAAGGCACTAATTTACCGGACATAATTAGGATAATAGAACACAATGTGCATCTCTTTACTAGGAATATTAATGCCTGAAAGGAACACAAATATTCGATCACTCAATCCATGACTGTTTGGGGAATACGGCTCTGTGCTATTGTCTGCCGCGTTTACCCAACAAAACATAAAGAAGTTTCCCATTGCAGCATATTCTGTGAACTTTTTTCGGAAGTTTCGAAGACGTGATAATAATTGTATCAAACGATTATTATTGCTATCGCTCATATTCGACTTCTGTATTTTATATTGCATTGATATATGTTATATTACATTATACTTTATGTAGTTACACTTTATATAACTATATTGTACATTATATAGCGATAGGACATTCCCCCCAATATATATCCATTGTTTTCTACTTTGATACAGAATATATTCGTACAAACGTATACCTCTAGAACGGTGTGTGTTTTCCCTGTCGATAATTTGTGGCAGAATTACCATGCATATTTCTTATTTGCAGCTTAATTAAATAACTTTGAAACTTAGATCATCAACGGTAGGATAACCCCGAAAGTATTCGCATGACAATAGCGCATGCTAACATTTCTGTTCCAGTATGAATCATGTCTGAACGTCATTCGGTTATTGCTTGGTTATCAGATACAAAGGCAAAGATACAGACAGTGCCGTCCAGTTAGTATGTTAATAGCTCGGATTTGTAGCTGGCCTAGCTGCACAGTTGATACAGAAACACAGAGAATTAAACACTAAATCGGGCAAAATGATACTGGCCGCACCCTCACAGCTCAGCCCCTCAGGGCTCGTATCTACATTGAGAGGAGTCGGGGGATGGGGGGGAATAACAATTAACCTGCACACAACACGACCGCAGGCACAGCGCCCGCGACAATCCCGCCACCTCCCCCTCCCCGCCCACCGCCTCCCCAACCTCCTCCACTAGGTCCACCAAGCCCCCGCCATCCCCCACCCACGGAGTATAGCCCGTTACGTCGGAGCACAGCTCCCTCCCCCAGGGCAGGACGGTTGCACCCCAGACACGGCCCCCTGCAAGCACAATTCCTCCCCATAGGGCAGTTATTCAACCAATGCTCTGGCCCTCCACCAGAACAGACCTTCCCACACAAGGCACCGCTCGACAAAGGCACAGATCATTCCAGGCGCATTCTCCCCTCGCTCAAAAAGGCACAGATCCTCAGGGCAAACCCCACTTCAAGGCACAGCTCACCACAGACTACAGCGCTTCCCTCAGGCACAGCCAATTTACCTGGAAAAAGCCAAAACTGCAGGCACAGCCACTAACCCCAGGGAACACCCATAACCCAAATGCCCAGCTCCAGCCCCCCCCCAGGGACCAGTTCCCTCGACCCGGCAACAGCCCTCTCCAACGGTATTTGCCCTTCAGACAGTGTAATCTCAGGGAACAGATGCCACTCCCCAGGGAACAGCCGCCCTCTTCCATATCCATTCACATCCCATCCCTCACTCGGTGCCAATCCAGCGCGGTAACAGAAACAAACGCAGAGCACAGGCCACCCAAATGGCATAGAGCGCCTCCAAAAAGGAACATACTCCCACAGGTACAGATCCACTCAGGCACAGATGCCGCTCCCGGTACAGCACCGCTCCAGGCACAGCAACTCCCCAAGGCACAGCTCCACCCTCACGAGCATATCCGGCCATCCCCGGGAACAGCCCTTACCAGCGGTGCAGCCCCGCACTCCCCCAGGCACAGCAGAACTCCCGAGCCCACTTACCCTCCACCCCAGTGTACAGCTCCTTCACCCCAGCGTATCGCGCTTCGCACCAGGTCAGTTACTAACCAAGACAGTTCATAGTCCCTACCCGATGTCAATTCCTTTCCCCCCATAGCAGCAACCCACGCAGAACAGAATCATCCAGTTTATTTCCCCACCACCCCAGGATACAGCCCATCACATAATGTTACAGCCCTTCTCCCAGTGCAGAAACCAAGGGACAGCAATGTGGCCGCACCCTCCAACGACCTGTAAGATTCCCCCTAACTTTCTCCAACACACTCCCGTGTGAAACGCAATCGAACATCTTCTGTAAACGCACACGACCAACAGCTTTCTTGTGAACAGCAATATAGATTTACACAGCGCCACTCGCACAGGATAGCATCCGGAGCGCTTGACATTGGCAGAGCACGTCTCCGAAACGGGGGTAAGAGGTAGTGACCTTATGCATGGTCGATAAGGAAATTCTTCAGGCGTCAACTTAAGGTGGAGAAGGAAGGGGCAAGGCATAGGGATAATTGAAGATAGTGTTCCCACAGCAAATTAAGGTAGTTAGATTGACTCACTAACCTGCAGATTCGACCGTCTTTCTCTCCAGAAATATCACTGCATAAGTGAAAAATAGAAGGTCAAATTACTAGTTATTTATACAGTAATTCAAGAAAACGTGTAGCTGATCTATCCGTCGCTCACGCCATCTATGGACTTTCCATAGATACGGGTAGCCATTTAATGGCGTCGACTAAAATGGTTCTAGTAGAGGAGCGAGCACCAGCACAGAAACAACATGGACAGGGAGGGCAGGGAATGGGATGAGAATAGAGAGCACCAGTGGGGGAGTGAGCAGCAGCACAGACACGAGGTGGAAAGAGAGAGCAGGGAGTCTGATCAGCGTAGAGAACTCTATTGCGGGAGCAAGCTCCAGCACAGGCACGATGGGAAGAGGAAAGAATAGAACTAAACAAATATCTCTTTCATAAACTCCCAAACAAATCAATGGGCGTAACGGCTTCCCTGGGAACACTCAGCACGTCAGACTGCAGGCCTGGCGAATGGTCATTGACTCCAAAAGCTGACTCACTTTTCTTTCTCCATAGGTGCTGCCTGACCTGCTGAGCGTACCCAGCGACTGTTTTTGTTTTCCAATTAATTTTATTGGGTTGAAGGAACTTGGTATTTGCCTTGCGACATGCTCCCTCCCTCCCTCACTCCAACCACCCCTTCTTCATGCAGACCAATCGTGTGACCTTCTCAACACGAAAGGCACAATATAAATGTTGCGTCAATGCAATAGTGAATTATCCAGCCTTGGATTGCCAAGCTTCTTTTTCCATTGACGTTTCTCTGATAGCTTTCCTCGCGTCAAAATATTCTGAGTGACAGCAGGAACCGAAACCAAACGTGAGAAAAATGTGTGAGGGGAGAAAGAGAACCCAATAAGAGCAGGGATGGCGTCAATGGAAATATACCGTAGGCTACCACCAAGCTGATAAGGACAATTTGCCTTCTTAATGTGTAAGGAATGTCTTCCTGCCACCCTCCCTCTCTAGCTCCTACTCGCCTTCTGCTACCTCTCTTTCACCCGCTACCCATTCCTCTCCCTCTACCACTCCACCTGCCGCTGATTTCACATCCTCTCTCTACCACTTTCTCTCCCACTCTCTCTCTCCCTCCCCCAAACGAACTAAACCATCCTCTCCCACTCCATCTTCCCCACCCATTCCCCATTACTTTCCCTGTTGCTCTTTGCCTCGATCTTTGTCCTCTCTTTCACCTCTCTCCCTCTCTCCACTCTCTGTTCATCCCTTCATCATCTCAATCCACTCTGCTCTAACTCTCTCACTTCTAGCCTTTCCTTCTTCTCTCTACGCTCTATACCCCCTCTCCCAGCACACGTTTCTCTGGTCTCTCTCTTCTTCCCTCTTTGACGTCTCTCCTTTCTCATCCCTCTCTCCTACCTTTGCGCATTTAATGTGTGTCCTCTCTCCTCACTCTTTCTTCTCTCTTCACACTCTCCCTTCTCCTTTCTCCATGGTGGAGTCCTGTAGCTCAGTGGTTAGAGCACTTGCTTTGCAAGCGAGAGACCTGAGTTCAATTCCAGGCAGGGCGAAACCTTGGGCAAGTTTCCTTACTCCACACGCCTAATAATAATCCCTCCATAAAAACAAAAACAATAATAAATTGGTCATTTTCAATCCACGACTGTTTGCGGGACATTGCTGTGCGCAATTGGCTGCCGCGTTCGCCCACAAATATACAGTCAATTCACTTTACAGTATATTCTGTGAAGCGCTTTGGGACGTCCTCCCGACGTGAAAAGCGCTATAACAAATGCAAGGATTATTATTATTATTATTATTATTATTATTCTATCCAATTTCCTTTTCAGCTTTTCCTAAATCAAAAATCTAAACAATACATTTCCATAGTTCCGTTTCCGTCGGGAAGATGACAAAAGGCTCTGGAGAGATATTGTATTGGAATCGTAGTCGGGATTGAGGAGCTTGGAGTGCAGGGATTTATGCAGGGTGTAAGAAAGTAGGGTCATAGAGTAGAATTTTGAGATTGATCTTGAATGAAGCAAGAACCGGGCGTGGAAAGGGAACTATAGAATTGAGTTTCAGAGGGTGGTGGCACAGTGGCACTAAAGGCCCAACCGCCAATGGTGAGGCGGGTGAGGCGAGAAACGTGACTCACGCTGGAGCCTGCTGCTCGGAGAAAGCGGGCAGTTTGGTTGGGCGTCAGCAGATGCAGGAGGGAACGAGGCCTTGGAGTATGTTAAAGGTGAGGGGCCGAATCTTGATCTGATTCCAACGGAGTCGGGCGACGATTGTGGTGCTAAGGTCGCAGAGCTATTTTGGAGGCGACGGCACAGTTTGAAGACTTCTGAGTGATCTGCAGCCGATGAAAGGAATAGTTGGGAGGCCGTCAAGCAGCGGGTTTGCATAAGCAAGAATGGATGTTAGGAATGCATGCGTGATGGTTCCGGCAGCCTGAGAGGGTGAGACAGTGGCAGAGACGGGTGCGGTTGCGGAAATGGAGGAAGATAGAGCGGGTCATGAAATGGTTGTGGGGTTTATTTTATTAGAGGGTCAAAAAATAACTCTCTCCAGTCCACCTCTCTGGCTGGTCCGAAACTGTGACTGGTATAGAAAATCAATCGAAACAATACTCACTGAAGATGAGAAACAATGGCTCCATGGTATGGTTGAGGAGGACCTCGTATGATGAGCAACGCCTGGAGGCTTGTGTGTCCC